AACAAAAGCGACTTTTACCTGAGCAATGAATGCTTGAAAATGCAAAACAATTTGATGATTTTCTTTTCAGCAGTACTTTCTTCCAATTACTTCGTTTTGAAACTTATCAAAATATTGGTTCATTTTTGGACATTATACCAGCTTATTCGCAGTATCTCACTGGAAGAATATGTTTTATGAACGAAAGCGAACGCTTATTTGTTAGTATTTCTGTAAATTATCACAATTTCATTAACTATTAAACAAATTTAAGATTAATGACTATGTGATGAGTGGTTGAGTTACTAAAACACTAATGAACTTTGACATTTAATCCTTGTCAACAGAGAGAAGAGAATTAGAAAGAGGGTAAAATGCTAAATTTAATAACAAAATATTCCTCTGTAAAAATATGTATATATTATATTTCCAAGGATAATTAACGTTGTAAGTCATCAAATTTCACTGATTGTTTCAGAAGAGTGAAAATATTGAACTGATCGTCAGAATTAATTTGGTTAATTAGTGAGTCCAAATTCCAGCATAATTGAAGTGTTCAGGTACATAATTCTTCATTTATTTAATGTCTTTCATATTCTATGATCCGTTGTTTCAGTTTTATGATATTCCACGTCAGTCGAATAGTTTCCTGTTAGACGGGAAAGCATTAGACGTGTAATACGTCCAACGTTTCAAGAATCCATTCCGTTATATTATCATACGTAAAATTAACGCGAAAAAGTTAGGGCGTGGATTGCATTGTTTGGATTCAAAAGGTCAAAAGCAAATGAATCAAAGGCTATTTGCTTTTTATATTTGGTGGAAGTGGAAAAATATTTGGTTATGTGCCAGCTTTCAACGGTAAATTTCTCTACGACCGTTAAATTATTTTTTATTTTACAGCCAGTAATGGTTTCTTGGTCATTAATGTACAACAGATCTCATACAGTTTGATCCAACTCAATAAACTTGTAGTAAGTTAGACAGGTTAAGCAGCATTTGATGCTTGCACTACTCATAGGTAATTAAATAGCAGTTGCAGCTTATCCGATAGAAACGTCAAAATGGATTGTTGGAAATAATTTGCGCTCATATCATCATGATATTTTTGACATCTCGTTTATAACGTTATTTCCGTGGATTACTACCAAGGATAGTGACGGCAATTTAGCCACTGTTTTAACTCTCGACATTCTCAATTCACATCCATATATGCTGGCAGAAGTTAATATCAGTTATGTTAGTGAAGCTGAAGGAGGTTTAACTGAAAAGACATATAACATTGCACCTTATACACTGTCGCGAATTTCAATATCGCGAAATTCCAAATAAATAATAAAATAAATTCCTTATTCAAATTGTAAATAAATGTTAACAATAGTGTGAATCATTTAACCAATTTACATTCTTTAAAATTATTTCCCATACGTTTTTTCTGTTACCTTTGTCTAACGGAAGTTCACATCTTTATTTTTTTGACAAAGAATGTCCAATTTACATGCTAATCTTCCCTCTGTTCTAGTTACAATGGTTATTCTGTAATTGGATCTTTACAGTTTCCTTTGTATCTAAATAACCCTTTTTTAATGTTTAATGTAAACCACTCCCACCTTTTAAGATATATAACCCTCAATTTTTAATATGAGGGAGGGTTATTTAGCTTGATAATTCCCCTGGCAATATTCCTCGTACTTGTATCTACAATACTTCCTCGATATTCACTCTTAATCATATATTGGAAATCGTTCTATGTTACTTGACATACGGATTATAATAAAACTTTCAACTGGCCGTACATTCACCATACAATCTGCTACGCGATAAAAGTGTACGTAAGTCAGACTTTAAAGATATTAGCCCCCTTTTTCAATTAACACAAAATAGAGTTATTTCGCGACAAAAACAATTTTTACGATACACACATCGTAAGTTGAATAGTGATTTTAATTATTATAAAATTTGCGTAAATGATTTTAATTATTATAAAATTTGCATAAATTTTACACTTTCTTTTTATTTTGCATTTTCCATTTCATTTTTATTGGGGAAGTTTTATAGTTTGAATTTTTTTCTTTAAATCAAGAGATTTTTTCAATCGGTAATTTGTTGAATTGGCAAATTAATAATTTTTGAATGCTGATTAGTTTAGCAAAGTTATCATTTCCAGCTCAAAATGAATGAAAGTATGGTGACAAAACTCCATGCTGAATACAGTGATAGTATTTGTAAGAGTAATTATGATTCTCGAATTACGATAAAATCTTCTATGCCAGTATCTGTCACTCAAAGTTACTTCGCTGGTGATGAGACTGGTGACAGTTTTGCAGGTATATTAAAAACTGTGATAAACCTTATTCCTCAAACAATAATATAATTTAATATTTAATACAGCTGCAGATCCTTTCCTCCATTTCGAACAATCTTTCTGCTTGTTGCTAATGGATTCCAGGATTGCTACTTCATTTTGCAACCCTTTCATGAAACTGATCTTTTGTTATTCGTTGAATTGCATTTTGGAAATTTCCGAAATAGTTTCATTGTTATTATTATTATTATTATTATTATTATTATTATTATTATTATTATTGTTATTATTATTATTATTATTATTATTATTATTATTATTATTATTATTATTATTATTATTATTATTATTATTATTATTATTATTATTATTATTATTATTATTATTATTATTATTATTATTATTATTATTATTATT